AATAATAAATCTTCATTAAATTTGCTTTAAAATGTTCTTTACCTCATGATGACATCTCAATTCGTTCTTAAGATACAATTTTTTTAAATTTGTATTACATAACTATATCAATCAAACATGCAGAGTTGGATTTAAAAAATCATAACAACGATGTTTATGGAAATTAAGAAATGAGTTATTCCACATTAAATCTTCATCAAATTTGCTTTAAAATGTTCTTTATTTCATGATGATATCTCAATTCGTTCTTGAGATACGATTTGTTAAAATTTATATTCCATATCTATAACAATCAAACATGCAGAGTAGGATTTAAAAAATCATAACAACGATGTTTATGGAAATTAAGAAATGATTTATGCCACATTAAATCTTCATGAAATTTGCTTTAAAATGTTCTTTATTTCATGATGATATCTCAATTGGTTCTTGAGATACGATTTGTTAAAATTTGTATATTATATCTATAACAATCAAATATGCAGAGTTGGATTTAAAAAATCATAACAACGATTTTTATGGAAATTAATAAATGAGTTATTCCACATTAAATCTTCATCAAATTTGCTTTAAAATGTTCTTTATTTCATGATGATATCTCAATTCGTTCTTGAGATACGTTTTTTTTAAATTTGTGTTTTATATCTATAACAATTAAACATGCAGAGTTGAATTCAAAAAATCATAACTCCGAAATTTGAAGATTCCAAGAAATGATCTTCAATGATCTTAAATATATTTGTTTTAAATTGTTTTATATTTAACGATAATATCTCAATTCGTTCTTGAGATACGATTTTTGAAATTTAATAAAACATATTCATTTGTTATCTTTAAAAAGCACACATCTAAAAATAAGGAGATCAGATAAAATCGAAATTGACACCCATCCTGGGGTTACAAGTAGCTATAGGCGGGGTCGGTCGGTGGCATATTCACCCGGGGGGCACTTTCACGGGGGGGTTGACACCATCACCCCCAGTCCAACATACCCTGACAGATGGCACCCGAATATAAAAGGTCACGTACATGACGTCACTTTACCAACCCAATTTTGTGTCACGTTTCCTCTGAAAAACCGCCGCATCCTATTTTAACTGCTTTGAATAATTTGCATTATATTATTATTAACCCCCTAAAAATAATAATATCGTTTTAAAACGAAGTTAAGAATTAAATTAAGGATGAAAAGAAGGATTAAAAAAAGGCAATAATTTGGTTTGTTCGTTCATTTTTATTTTTACATCTATATTTTGTAAAGTTAAGAAAAAACATTTATGATTTGTAAAAACTATAAAGATTTCTATTTGTTTTTTTTTTTAATAATTAAATAAAAAGTTAGTTCTAATCCAGTGTAATAAATAGTATTACAGAAAAGAAGAGAGATTAAGTATATTAAGAACGATTTTATTTTAATTTCTTTTTATTTTAATTTTCTGATAGAAAATGAGTTGTTTTTGTTATTATTATTACACTTTTTATTTAATTCACAATCGTATACTTAGAATATCTCACTGGTTTTTTTTCTTATTATTTATTATTTTTTGTTTTAATTTATGAATTAATTCCGCAGTGTGTTAAGGTATATCTTTCAAGTCACTAAGTTTCTCCTCCTACTTTGCTGCCTTATACCTGTAGAATTATTTACAATAAATATTACAAATTACACAATTAAATCAAGTTTAATTAATGAGTGATATGGTAAATTTACAAAATAATTACTATTTATATACTTATGATCGTTGTTCGTAACCTATTTATTTTTATTTAAATCAATTCTTTCAAGTTATTTTACAACTTTGTACACCTTATAATGTTATCCCGTGAAAAATATATGTACAAGTTCGATAAAAAACTACAAAGTACTTTTTAAATTTCATGGTTCGCTCCCTCTTTCCGGCGAATTCAACGAAAACGATTTCTTTTTTCGTTTCATAGAAAGAGTAAGATTAGAATCCCAGCTTTAAGCGATATGTTTTAATTGAAGATATGATAAGATAGTTATTTTTAAATAAAATTAAAGTATTTATTAACACTAATTTACAAATATCGGTTCATTTTTGGATGCGATTTTTTAGTATCTTTGCAATTTCGATTAATTGAATTGTGATCAAACTTTTTTTGGAAATCATTAACCCCGTTTAAGTGGAAAAATTTTCTGGAATCAAACGTTTGTCTATTTCTTTACATGTAAAATTAACTCCTTTAACAATTGAAGACTTCGGTGCAAGAAGGGGGTAGCTCCATTTACCAAGAGAATTAGTTGTCCCGTTCTTGCACCGAGGTCTTCCATTTCTCTTGCTTCAAAAATTTTTGGAAATTCACCCTCCATTGAAAGCAGAACTATTAACCTCACAACCGAAGTCAAATACTTAGTGGTAATAGTACACAGAAAACTAAACTGGAACTCCCACTTAGTCAAGGTGAGGAAAAAGGCCAACATGGTTAACCAGGTCTGATTCCAAAAACAAATCTTAAGATAGCACAACAACTGCTGGCACAAATCCAGCGGTTGAGATCTTGTCCAAAGGGTGCTCTTAAAGTCCTACTCGGTTTCACATCACTTCATTTATACATTCAAAAGGAGGCAGCTTTAAGTGCCTTATCACTGAAAACATGCTCTTCACTCAAGTTCTGCAGGCTAACCTCAGAGGACACCTCGAAATCCTCATGCAAACATTTCTAAACCACTTGATTGAAATTAAAGTGGACCTTATATCGTCAGAATATAATTTCGACCAGCCATATAATGTCATATTTAGTACCAGGGATGATTGAACAACTTGAAAGAGGAACCCTTGCCTGGTACACCGATACTTCAAAGTCAGTTGGCTCCGGAGTAGATGTGAGCATTAGTGGACCAAATAGCCATATTAAAATGCCTGCTGTAATCTTCTGCACCGTTTTGAACCTAGAAAAGGAACAGAAAGGTGTATCGATAAACATTTTGCCTAAAGGCAATTCGTATGACTCCGCACTGATTAGAGAGTGTACCAGAAACCTGAGAGATCTCGCTAGAGGTAATGATGTTACTCTTTGAGAGTTTCCAAGTCGCAGACATTGGGCGCAATGAAACGGTGGATAAGCTAGCCAAAGCTTTAGCCATAGCTTACAAAAAAGCCACTTAAAACAGGTAATTAATAGTTGGGAGGCCTGAAAGGTAGCCTTACGCTGGAAAGAATTTCCAGGTTACAGACAGGCGAGATAACTCATTGTTTGCAAATAACAAAAAAATATTACTTCACCTAGCTTGAGGATTACAACATTACACGTTTTCTGAAATAAGATTTTCTTAGCTTTAACTTTAATTTTACAGATTTCAACGCTTCCAACACTAATCTTAGCTTGATCATCAATTCATTCCAGTTTAAAACTGCTCCCAACATGTAATTTCGTAATGTTTCTGCCATTGCTCTACAGAATGGAACTATAGAATGGATATGTTCGGCTGCTAATTCAATGAAAGCAGTTCTTTGCTCACACAGAATCCCTCGCAAAATCAACTTAATAATCTCAATAATCAATATTTTCGATTATGGTAAACACTTCCAATGTTTTCATCTCCATAACATTTTAACTTTTTTGTAATTTTCGGTGTAATTCCGGTTCAAAAGAAAATGCTATCAATTTTGGAAAGATTTTGATTTTTAGTTTGGCAGTGTATTATAGCAAATGATTAATATCACTTTCAAATCATTTGTGTTGGCAGTAATTGTTTGGTACTTTTACATTCATTGCGTATTGAATTTACAATCAGCACGAGTCTCGACTATGAAAAATTCCAGACTTGCACAATATACTGTCATCAATACATCTAGAACAAGCATTCGAGTCATCTGCAGCAATAATACACGACCAAGTGCTCCTATTATAACAATTATTGCTTCTGTTTATATCCCAAGAAGTGTTTGGATATTTGCATTTGTGTACTAAGAGGCTACAATACCTAGGAAAACTGGATGTATCACAGATCAAGTTAAGTCGCAGCAAAGGAGAACTGAAGGAAAAATGTACTTAACTTACAAAGGATATGGAGTCTCAACACAGGAAATTAGTAATTTGAACGAGTACAAAGTTTCATATATTTGGGAGGTAGAGAAGTAATGTGTAAAGAAATCGAGGCTAGAATACTTAGTGGCAAATAATCGAAACTCAAGATCTACCGCACAAATTATAAGACCAAGTATAACTAATAGATGTGAAGCTTGGATCATGGAGGAGATAAAAATAAATCAAGAGTCTGGAATATAGAGAATAAGAATGAACAAAATATTGGATCAACTCATGGATGCTACAGACATAGTAGAACACAAGAAAGCACAGAGAATAGCATGGCTGGGATATTTTTCAAAGATGCAGGGCGACAAAGAAGTGAAGAAAATTGCAGAATGGATACTTTAGGGACGTTAGAACATCTGATGCACGAAACTATCTGGCAACGTATTGTAAAGTGAGTTAAAGTCCTCAAAGAATAAGTCAGGTTTCAGTTTGAAAATATTTTTGAAGAAAGACCCACGTATCTGGTTGTAATAAAATTTAAGTTTTAGTTTCGTAATAAATTTAATTAAAGTATCCCTTTTTAATGCAAAAATTTCTCAAAGTGTTAATAAAAGTGTCCTCTTTCCAATGAACCAACCCATTTTGAAAAATATATTTTAGTTTTTGAGAAAACAAAATTTGAAGTTTTGATAAAATTTTCGATGTTACAATTTTCATCGATAACTTTCAAAATTCGCTATAAAATTCATTTCTTGAAGGATCCTTGTGGAAATATCAACAATTATTAATTAAAGTATCCTCTTTTTAATACAATAAGCCGTTTTGAAAAATCGCTTTTAGTTTTTAAGAAATAAATTTTTGAAATTTTTTTCAAATTTTGCAATTTTCGCCGATTAAGTTATTAAAATTCGTATAAAATCTATTTCTTGGAATATGAATATGAAAACTTCTCAAAGTGTTAATAAAAGTGTACTCTTTCCAATGAACCAACGCGTTTTGAAAAATAACTTTTAGTTTTTGAGAAAACAATATTTGAAATTTTGATAAAATTTGAACGAGTACAAAGTTTCATATATTTGGGAGGTAGAGAAGTAATGTTTAAAAAAATCGAGGCTAGAATACTTTTGACACTAAGTATTCTAGAGAATAAGAATGAACAAAATATTGGATCAACTCTACTACAGACATAGTAGAACACAAGAAAGCACAGAGAATAGCATGGCTGGGACATTTAGCAAAGATGCAGGGCGACAAAGAAGTGAAGAAAATTGCAGAATGGATACTTTAGGGACGTTAGAACATCTGGTGCACGAAACTTGAAGCATACTGCGCCTGGCAGATCATAATGGCAACGTATTGTGAAATGAGTTAAAGTCCTCAAAGAATAAGTCAGGTTTCGGTTTGAAAATATGTTTGCAGAGATGGTAATAAATTTGGAAATCATTTTGAACAATGATTCAAGTACTAAATTGCGTAGAGATTCATATTTAAACTTTATGTCACATTGCAGAAAGATATAATTTCCAGAATATCTAAGCTTTACATTGAACAAACAATTTTAGACACTAAGTTGAAGGGTTACTTAAGGTCCTAAATTCATAAAGACTCAAGTTTCAGTTTTAAAATCTGCTTCCAGAAAAAAAGTTATTTGGCAAAAAATTTTTGATCACAAAAAAACAAGAACACAAGTTTGATTTTAAATTGTAAAGATATTAATTTGGTTTTGATGTCTAAATCCGATGTGATAAGAAAAAACAAACTAGAAATGTTATTACTCGCATCCAAAACCGTGTAAATTTGTGTACTTCTTTAATATGTGCAAGAACGCTACGTTTTATTAAGATTACATTTTTAAGCTAGAATTTTCAACATTTCCAAATTCCGATAACAATTTTTTTTGATTTCTTGCAAACTTTTGAAACGAAACGTTGAAAATACAGCGAAAGTTACGATCACAGTTGCATAGGTGTTGAAGAACAGTACTTATAATTTATTCGCACAAAGTCAAAAATCTACGTAATTTATTTTGGAGTCAATCTTTTTTGGCGTTACACTTGATACATTGCACTAGAGGTTTCGGTTGGATCTTGTTCTCTTGGACTTATTGGCTCAGTATCGGCGGGCTATTTTGTTGTACCCACCAATGGACTTGTACCATATCCCTGAGCGTTGCAGGTTGGTAAGGCGAATGGATTCATCGATGCAAACGGTGAAGAAACTAAACCCATTCCTAAAAAATAAAAAAAATTATTTGTTTACTTAACTAAATTAGGAGAGGATCCATTACAACTCGCGTGCTACAACTTAATTTACCAAAAAAAAAATGAAATCTTAGTCATTAATCAAAACTAGATCTTAATCAAATCTTTTCTTTTTTTTGTGTTTGAATTAGTTCAATCAATTAACTATTTAGAATGAATTTTGGGTGAGGTATAATTCGTGAAATTGGTTTAAAAAAGTTTTCAACGCGTCCGCTAGGGAAATGTACCTGCCCGATGTAAAACAGGGGGTTAAAAATAAAAGGGCGAAACTCTGGAAATGAAACAAGTGTGCGGGACGGGGGAAACGGTTGCAAAAAGAGAGGTTAAACGAGGCACAAAAGTGGCGCGTTGGAAACCGCTCTGTAGGGTCGGCAAAATCTACTTAGTTTTAAACGGGCGGCGTTTATGAAAACAAATGTAACGCAATTAAGCTGCCGCGTTACAATTAACCAGCAAAAATTACAAGACTTGTTCAACAATTACTTATTTTTTTTTGGGTGTATAAATCAATTCGAGATATTCATAATCAAAGAAATTAATTATGTTTAAAATAACTTGGGAGAAATCTATACCGATCCGCCGATTTTAACGAACTATATCTCATTCGAAAGCTTAATTCTTTTAACCAATATAAAAGTTGAAATGCCCGATTCGAAATCGTTTTCGAATTCTAATAAATCGCGAAAATATTGCGAAAGTATAACGAAATTAACACAAAAATGGCTTTTTTTGGGTAGTCACAACTCGTGAACTAAGTACTTGTTTATAAAGATCTATAAGTCGTTAGATTCGGCATAGTTTTATTTCTTGAAATCACAAAATGATTGATGTCACGTTAAGCTTGTGCAGCCCTCACAATGACATTGTGTGAGGATTGTTGCATAAAAAATTTTTTGTTAATCTTACAAGGGGACCTTACGGGTTCGTCATCACCGATTTTGTTCATATTTATAGGGATTGAAGATCAGTACTCAGACATCATTTTCCTGAAGCAGTTCGATCATATGCTGGAAAATATCCGAGAAAATCGATTTCAAAATTTTCAAAATATTTCGCAACAATAGAAATGCGGTAAATTGTATTTACGTTCATAATGCCGATTAGCCGAGCGACGTGAGTGGTGCTTTGGGTGCCCAAGGTCGCAGGTTCAATCCTTACTTACTGCTCGCTTTATTTTTTCATTATTGATGATAATCATTATGTTTAATGATTATTAACAAATATTAAATAAATTCAAAAATAATATTAAAAACAATAGCATAATGTCATCTGTTCATTGTCAAACCAAATAATTCAGATCACGCATACGGGTGGCAGTGATGGTAAAATTATTTATTGTTAGGAGTATTATATAATATAAAATATATTAACAATACGAATAATATACGAACCGCCGTGCTGATCAAAACACATTTCTCACATGTACTTACCAATAGATTTGACACGGGAAGAGAAATAAACTTTTTTCGGTGAATCAACGTCGTCCGCTATTGGACAATAGCGGATGACTTTAAACAGTTCCCGTGCGGTTATTATAAACATTTCGAAAAAAATTATTAGAAAGACCGCTTCAGAATAATGTATCCTACAACCGTATAATGCTCTGATGCGGAAGATACCGGGCACCTGTATATAGATATAACAATAAATTATAATAACAACAGATTACTATTTTTAATCAATATTACATGAACTGCCCATGCCTTGCTGTTAACCGTATCAGATTCTCGATTTTTGGGTGGCAGTTTATCTCCCCAAGGGATTTGAATGACCTTTTATCGAGCAAGGTATTAATGTTCGTTAAGAGCGACTGCACGGTAAAATTTGATAACAATATCTATCGGGGTGCAATAGATCCTTAGGTATCTATACCTTGCTCCGCGAGGTTGGTTAGTCCGCTTATCCCATATGTAATTTATGTAATGTAATGTAATATACAGGGTGTCTTACGTAACTGGTTCGTTAGAACTTTTTCAGGTTCCACTATTCGTAGAGATTTGAAATTTTGGTAGCATGGGTTGTTCATTCGGAACTTTCAATCTAAAATATTTTCAAAATGGCCGCCACTTCTGGTCTACCGGAAGTAAACCATAACTTCGTTATTTCAAATGGAATGCTATAGTTTTTATTGCACCTTTTAATTGTACGTAAAAAAATATGTTGACTTTCATAAAAGTTTTTGGTACCTAGCGTTTTTCGTTTACGGGTTATTTTGATTTTAAGGTTTTTTTGGCAAATTTCACCATGCTCTTTAAAACCCTATATCCCAGCCAACGTTCATTCAAAAAAGCTCTAAATTGGCACGATTACTCTTCAGATGCTCTCAAATAGATTGTCATATATTGTATCAGAGTATCTTATACAGGATGGTCAAAAATTGAATTACCGTTTCTCCATATTCAATGGGGAGAAAGTCGAAAATTTTAAATGGAACGCCCCATATTTTATTAGCCTACACGAAAGGGAATTTAATTCTCTACAATTTATCTATAAACATTCCTATACTTATTTATTGTAGTTTCTCTCATATTCGTAAATTTATCAAAACATGCAGAAAATGCAGGAAACCGTTTGTATTTTTATTAGAAGGCCGTAACATTTTGACAGTTTTTTGTTTAATTTATTTCTATTATTATTTGTACTATTAACTACGATTGATAATCTTTTAGTTTACTAGTTTTTACTTACCAAAAATAACAAACAGAAGATCAAATAAATGAAACAATTAAAACAAAAAGTTAATGACAAAAATTAGATTTGAATAAAAATATAAATTTATAATATAAATTTGTTATTAAATTGAATTTGGAAATGCAATAAAATACATACAATAAATTATTTATTTCGTTGTCTTCATCACTAGTGACCGGAAATATGCGATGTTTTTTGGTCACGATATATCCAGAACTAAGAATTTTTTTATCAATTTTTTGAAATTTTTCCTTGTGATGGGCGTTAGGTTCGTTAGGCATCTCTCATTAAGTGTTCGACACGTGCCGTCCAAAAGTTTATTACATTCGCCATCAATACAAAATAAATTTTAAATATCGGCGTTGGAATAATTTACCATGATGTTCAATGACTTACACCCGTCGTCAAATGTAACTAATGACAACAATAATACAAACATGGACCAAAAACTGTCAACATTCTATATCTTTCTAATAAAAAAACCTGCATTTCATGCATGTTTTAATAAATATCGCAATATGAGGCAAACTACAATAAATAGGTATGGGAATGTGTATAGGTAATTTGTAGAGAATTAAATTCTCTTCCTGATAGCCTAAAAAAATATGGGGCGTTCCATTTAAAATTTTCGACTTTCTCGCCATTGAATATGGAGAAACAGTAATTCAATTTTTGACCATCCTGTATAAGATACTCCGATACAACAAATGGCAATCTATTTGACAACATCTGAAGAGTAATCGTGCCAAAGTAGATCTTTTTTGAATGAACTTTGGCTGAGATATGGAGTTTTAAAGAGCATGTTGAAATTTACCAAAAAAAGTTTAAAACCAAAATAACTCGAAAACGAAAAACGCTAGGTACCAATAACTTTTATCAAAGTCAACCTATTTTTTTACGTACAATTAAACTGTGTAATAAAAACTATAGCATTCCATTTAAAATAGCGAAGTTATGGTCTACTTCCGGTAGACCGGAAGTGGCGGCCATCTTGAAAATATTTTAGATCGAAAGTTCCGAATGAACAACCCATGCTACCAAAATTTCAAATCTCTACGAATAGTGGAACCTGAGAAAGTTCTAACGAACCAGTTACGTGAGACACCTGTATATTGTTATTATCGTATTTTTCGTATATTATTCGTATTGTTAATATATTTCATATTATATAATACTCCTAACAATAAATAAATTATTTTGTCATCACTGCCACCAGTATGCGTGATCTGGATTATTTGGTTTGACAATGAACAGATGACATTGTGCTATTATTTTTGAATATATTTAATATTTGTTAATAATCATTAAACATAATGATTATCATCAATAATGAAAAAATAAAGCGAGCAGTAAGTAAGGATTGAACCTGCGACCTTGGGCACCCAAAGCACCACTCACGTCGCTCGGCTAATCGGCATTATGAACGTAAATACAATTTTTGTAATTCGCTACGGTAATGGAAGCTATAACCGTACTCAAACGGATGCTGTAATGAGACTCCTTACAGCATCCGATGCTGTAATGAGATTTTAGTAACATTTTATGGAACCAGTTCAAGTTGGTGACATTGGGTCATTAATTTTTCTAGTTGTCAATGTGACAATTTTTGTCTATCGATGTTTAAACACGTTCTTAGCATCGAATACAAGGTCCACAATGAACAGTACTCAAACGGGTGNATTGGGTCTAAATGCGCCCAAATGGCCGGGACATTATGTAGAAGCGATTCTGATAAAGTGCAAAAGCATTGTTGCTGTACCTCATCTTGTTTGGTATATAAAACAACAGTATGTAGAGAAATCTGTTTTCTTGATCCTCCGAAGTGGAATGCTTGTATCTCTTCTGCATATTTCATGTTGTAGTTTTCACTAAAATCCATGTGAATAACCGCCTCGGTAATTCGAAGATTCTCTTTAAGTTCTTTGAGTTATTTGTACTGATGTAAGGATCTGCCTTTGTGCTTCAGAAATGGTATAATACTTTGTTTAAAATCAGCTATAATATCAGAAACCTGGCATTCAACTTTCTTTGATGTCTTTCTAACCTGCTTTTCGTTTTGTGATGTCTTGTCAACATACGTGCATTTTTGTGTCATCCATTTGAAGTAGTAACTGCGTTCCCTAGGGTTGTATTCACGGAATGATATTTGCATAGAAATCGCAATTCCCGTAAATAACATTATTCAAATTTTTCGTTACAACAAAAGCACAAAATGACTTCATTCAAGTTCTTTTTCGTAATGACATTGAGTCGAGTTAGAGACTGAATTAACAATAGA